ATGCTTTGAAGAAGGCAGTGCAAAATGGCATTTCTTAAAATATCCTGATATGTAACTTGACGTTCATCATGCAAGGGGAGGTTGCAGAGCAGCTGTCAATAAAGACAACAAAAATAATTCTTTGAATAAGAGGATGCAGAGAGATGGGTGTAGCCACAGCTAAGGGACACTCAAGGAGATTTCTAAAGATTGAGTTGAGGCAACACCAGCATATATGCAGGGAGCCTGTGGCAGGGAGGGATGGTGGGTGGTGGGTGTTACTAGTGGGTGTGTTAAGTTACTGTATGTGAATACTATGGTGAAAAGGTGGCTGAAATTGTTCAGTTATTTGTACTGCCTATCTTTACAAAATTTGGCACCACTGTGGTGGCAAAGCAGCATCTGCTTAGTAACCTGTTCAAGCCATGGGTCCAACTGTACACATAATAATCAATGTGGGTCATAACTTTTTGCTTTCTGGAAAAGAAGACAGTCCAGATATGCTCTATCTATTCCAGAAGTTATATACAGCTTTGCTTGACACTGGTGTCTCAGAGTAATGTCACATCATTAAGAATGGGGTAAATGTTAGTGGCTATTAGAGTACAATGGGCTTGAAAAGCTATGAGGAAGATATTTTTACCTATCCTGAATCTGTTCTTCTCAGTAGCCTTATCCTACTATCCTAAAAGAGAAGTTAAATAAAAGATAAATAAATAAATAAATATAAAATACAAATAACTGTAAATAGAATAAAGTAAACTATTCTAAGTATACCCCCCCCAAAAAAAAACAAATACACCGTAAATAAGTACATTTTAAAAGCAATTTTAGCCGAAGCAGCTTCATGAACAAAACTAGGGTTTCTTTGAAATTTCAACTGCAGCAAAATTGTTTATATTGTGGCAAAATCAATTTCACCAAAATCGCTCTGCTCACCCCTAATCGTGAGCTGTGACATACAGTGGCTGTTGCTCTACTGGGGACCAGAGAGGAACCTCATCCTTAAAACACAGACTGCGCAGTCTGTTGAAAGCTGCAAGCTAGATATAAATTGTATGTTCTTTTTCATAAGCCTTAAATACATGTACTGCTTAATAAAAATGATCTATTTGTTATATTTGACAGCCATAGTCAAGGGTGGCATTGTTCTGTGCCCCACAAAGGAATCTTTCCTTATCATCAACATGGTCACCACTGAATATCTGCTAGGTCTGGGGTTAACCTTATGCCTAAGGTCATTTGGCCTTCTCCCATTCCTCCTCAACACGACAAAACAGTAGATTCCAGTGTCGGGACTTTGATGCTAGTAGTTTTTGGTTGCTCTTTTGCACAGACACCATCTTGTCTTGAATAATGCATTTTAGCAGTTTTGATTGAATTAATCACAGGACACAAGGATCAGGGCTTGTACAAAATATATTACCATTCAGATGAGCCTAAGGAAGCTTTCTCCCATTCCCCTTCAAGATTCTTGTGCTGGGACCAGGGCTTTGGTGCTAGTAGTTTTTGGTTGCTCTTTGGCATAGACAGTTTCCTTGCTTGAATAATGCATTTTAGCAGTATTTTAGATTAAAATATTCACAGGACAAAAGGCTCAGGCTTTGTACAAAAGGATAACACAATTTAGATAAGCCTAGGGAAGCGTAATGATTAATTATGGCTCTAAAAAATATCCATGGCCACCTCAGTTTAGTTGCATGTCATTTGAGCTTTGTAACACATTAAACCCATGCTGCTACACTGGCCCTCAGGTAAGAAAAAGTGACCGCGGTAATTGCTATTATATCAAGATGAACTGTGCTGAATATTTTATGGGTCATTAAAATTATTTTCTAACTTATGTATTAGTGGTTGGAGATGTTGGGACTCCTTCTAATAGCCTGAGATGATTACTTTTTTTCATGTACGTAGTCTACACAGCTTGAAAGCTGAGCTATAGACAAGTGGACTTAGCTCTGACACCCACTCTCTGTCCTTGATAAAGTTGCATTATCTTTGTGCCACAGCCAGCAAAATAACTACTAGAACCTATGAAAGACAGCTATTCACAGACTTCATATTGTTCTATATAAAAAGATTAAACAAATACATATCTACCCAGACAGATTGTTTTAGCAGAGCATGCAATTCGAAGTCCATAGAGTCTGTAAGATATTTTTAGTTCTTTTTTCTGTTAGGAGAGGAAAACAGACAGCTGGAAAATATACATCAAAAATAAAGTGCTAAAAGAAATGGCTGACTCAGATAAGCATAGAGAGTTTATAGAAAGTTTTTTGGAAAATGGACAAGACAGGCCTATGAACACTCTCTATCTTATGTGAGTGGAAAATTAAAATGTGTTTGTACATGTTAATTTGCTTATGAATAAATGAACAAACACTTTCTATATGACCCAAACTAAATGGATGTTTTCAAGCGTGTGAGTAGTGTGACCAAAAACCATCTGCAGCTTAAACCTCATTGACTTCTTTTGTGATGACTGTCTAAACAATCACAGCTCTGTAGTCTGGAATGGTATATAAGTAACATAAGCAACAATATTATATATATATTGTCAGGATCAGAGGGGTAAACAGGCTCTTGGCAGACAGTTCAATAAAGTAAAAATCCGCTTTATTTATTTCCAAACAGAAAAGTGACATGCTTTGTCTTCAGATTCAGTTTAAATACGACAGGTAAATCATCTCACCAGTACATCACAGTCTTACATGAATAACTTTCAGAGTTCCATCCACAGCATACACAGTATATTAAAGTCTCTGTTAAAGCCAAGCTCACCCAGCAGGTCAAAGTCAGATTATCAAGACTTCCAGGCAGCATTAAGACTGCATTCACACTTGAGCGTTTTGTACCTTGAAGCTCCAAAAAAGCTCAAACTTAAAAAATCAATTGTTCTCTATGGTGCCTGTTCACACCTGAACACAGGCGAATAGGCACCATAGAGAACAATTGATTTTTTTTTACGTTTGAGTGTTTTTGGAGCTTCAAGCTACAAAATGCTCAATTGTGAATGGAGCATAAGGTCTCCCCACTACAGACAGTAAAACTACCATCAACTAGCCTCTCTGACCAGCTGCTTAATAAACAGGCCGGAATGGGAAGTACCTTCCCTCTACACTTAACCCCCTCCTAAACCTGCCAAAGACTGAATCTCTACATTATATATATATATACTGTATATATATATATATATATTGCTCATTAACCTGGTTGTAAACCTCAAACGTGAAATATGAACAAAGCATATCCCTCTATAGTGTGTACTTTTCTCAAACCAGAGCACTAAGTATCATTTCTGCCTGCTGCCTGGCTCCTCTGCTATCAGCATGAGTCACATCTGACAAGTTTTCCTAACACCAAGAAAAAAAAGGAGACAGAGGAGGGTGCAGCCTGTGATTGACAGCATCAGCTCTGTTCCTGTGTGCTGTGTGAAGTGTGGTGTGTCCCTTTTCTCCAGTCAGCTCTCAGAGCTCTGCTCACTGATGTAACTTTAGCTATCTGCCCCCTGCTTTTTCAGAGCGGAGAGATCCTGTGTAATTTCTGTACTTTGCATGGATGTAGGGGACAGGCGGCTACAGATATACAGGAAGATTTGTTTCTTTTCTGTGTATCCCTGGTGCAAATATTCAGCACTTCACAACAATGCTCAGATATGAACCATATGGACCTTGTGGTTCATCACTTTGAAAAAAATTACACAGGTACAGTTTTTCCAAAATATCAAAAGGCTGTCTCAACCTAACATGGCTAAACAACATTCCAAATGGTCAGGCTATCCTGAGATGGACACCTATGCTAAAGCATCCATGAGCTCAACCAATGCTGTTAATTCAACAGTTAGCAGCTTACGCTGAAGTGGTGGAGATCCTACATTAAATTGTAAACCACAGCAGTGAAAGGGTTAAAATGTGGGACATCTGATTATAAAGAGTTAAAATGACATTTTTTCAATTCATAACATATCTCACTATTATCAAGAAAATTAAACATCCCTGGTTCTTAAAGGACCACTAAACTTTACAATGAAAATGTTCATATTTGAAAAGTGAAGGTACATTAACTTTCAATTTTTATATTATTAAAAAACACATTTACTGAACCATTATCTCTTAATTCTCTAAGCTGAATCCAGATCTTCTGATTATTGTACAAAATATTTGTAGTGAAGGCAAAAAATATACTATCTAAAATCAAAATGCATTGCTTATAGAAACACTAATATTCAAATTAGGAAATAAATAACATTTAATATATGCATAGGTCTACTATATCTGCAAGTCTGTGTGTGTGCGTGTGTATACAGTATATGAACTTGCTGGAATATTTATTATATGAATCTTATTGTGGAGGCAACAATACCTAATAGGCTTCTGGTATCATTTCCACCCTTCATTTCCAGTAATACTTGAGGACAGTAATAAAATAATAAGACCCATCTGCTGTTTAATTGGAATAAAGATGAATTCCAAGTATGGTACCTTGGTTTACGAATGCCTCAGTTAATGTAATTTTCGGTTTCTGAATGAAAATAATGCCTTGGTTTACAATTTTTTTTCGCAATACAAATGGATTAATTGGTTGTCAATGCATTTACAAATTTTTTTTTAAATCATTTCCTAGTATAGTACTATGCCTTTAACCAGTTGCCAACTGCAGGTAGCTGAATGATGGCTGCACTGCGGCCGGCCAGTTCTGGGAGGCCATCATATGACGTCCTCCCAGGACGCGCTCTCCTGCGCTCCCCCGGGGGCGTGCACCCGGCGATCTCCATGATCGCTGTGTCCTACGGACACAACTGATCACGTGATGTGGAAAAAAGGGCAATCACAGTGGCCTTTTCCACGTAATCAGCCGTGTCCAATGACATACTGATCACCAGGAAATGCAATTGCCGGTTCTTGGCTGCACTTTCCTTACGCTGTCAGAGGAAAGTGAGGAAAGTACTGCAAATAACTGGCAGTTGTCAGAGCATGGATCGGCACTGATCATCAGGGCACTAATGATCAGTGCCCTGATGATCAGTGCCCAGCAGTGCCACCCACCAGTTCCTCCCACAAGTGCCCAGTAGTGCTGCCCACAAGTGCCCAGCAGTGCCACCCACCTGTGCCCAGCAGTGCCACCCACTTGTACACAGCAGTGCCACCCACCTGTGCCCATCAGGGCCCACCAGTGTCACCCACCAGTGTCCATCAGTGCAGCCCAGCAGTGATGCCAGTCAGTGCCGCCCAGCAGTGCCACCAGTCAGTGCCCAGCAGTGCTGCCAGTCAGTGCCGCCTATCAGTGCCGCCTATCAGTACCCATCATCAGTGCCAGCTTATGGGTGCCACCTATCAGTGCAGTCTATCAGTGCCGCTCATCCGTGCCACCTCATTAGTGCTGCCTATCAGTGCCGCATATCAGTGCCCATCAGTGCTGCCTATCAGTGCCCATCAGTGCCGCCTATCAGTGCCCATCAGTGCAGCCTCATCAACGCACATCAGTGAAGGAGAAAAATTACCTGTTTGCAAAATTTTATAATAGAAACAAAGAAACTTATTTTTTCAAGTTTTTTGTTATTTTTTTGTTTATAGTGCAAAACATAAAACACCCAGTGGTGAGTAAATACCACCAAGATAAAGCTCTATTTGTGAGAAAAAAATTATAAAAATGTCATACGAATACAATGTTGCATGACTGAGCAATTGTCATTCAAAATGCGACAGCGCTGAAAGCTGAAAATTAGCCTGGTAAGGAAGGGGGTATAAGTGCCCGGTAGGCAAGTGGTCAAAGTGCATTTTATAAACAGTTTTGAACAGATAAGACTTTTTTTTTTACTTTTTTCTGACCTACGGAATGGATTAATTGGTTTTCAATGCATTTACGAATTAATTTTTAATCATGTCCCTGTACAGTATTTATGCCGTTAAAGTGCACTTTATAAAGAGTTTTGAACAGATACAATTTTTTTTTTACTTCTTTCTGACCTCTGGAACGGATTAATTGGTTTTCAATGCATTCTCATGGGAAACCGCGTTTCGGTTTACAAATTTTTTGCAATACGAAAAGTCCCGCAGAACGCATTAAATTCGTAAACCAAAGTACGCTTTTAGTTTGGACAAGCTTGGAACTATATACAGTGCTCAGCATAAATGAGTACACCCCAACAGATTTGTCAAAAAAACCTTTACTTTACTTTCAGAATCAACATTTTCTATGGGACACTTTACTACAAAATACTCCCACAAAAGCAGGCCATTGATTGCAAGCAAGATATATTAATTTGCACAACAAAGAAGTATTTTTCCTAACCAATTTATCCAAGGCCATGTTGCAAAAATTAATGCACCCCCATGAAAGTCTTAGGAGCAAAGCTAAATTTTAGACAAAAAAATCCTAATTAACAAGAATTCAACTACAGGTGAGTCTAATTATTCATTTGAACAGGTGTCCAGCAGGTAGTTGATTATGAAAGGGCATTAATAACAAGTATAGCCCCTTCCCATTTCATGCATCTCATAGAGACGTCCAGGCTGTCTACAGAAGCTAACACCTTGACAGGAGCGTCTTCTGAGGAGAAGAGTTGAAGAAAATCACCATGCAAGTTCACTGCAGTTAGCTAAAGAGGTAGAAAGCCAAACTAGGGAAATTGTTTCCCGTGACACAATACAGCGTACACTGCAGAGAAATGGCATGCATGGGTGTCATCCACAAAGGAAGCCTTTCCTAAAGCCCACACATAAAAAAGCCCACTTAGAATTTCCCTGTTGCCCATGCTGAAAAAGAAGACTACTGGGACTCTGTAATCTGCAGTGATGTGACCAAGGTAAATGTTTTTGGAACGGATGGCTTCAAAACTGTATGGCATCGCAAAGGTGAGGGGCACAAAGAAAAATGCATGGTGCCTACAGTGAAACATGGTGGTGAAAGTGTCCTTCTGTGGAGCTGCTGAGCTATGAGTGCTGCTGGTGTCGGGGAGCTGCATTTAATTGATGGGATCATGAATTCACAGATGTACTGCTCTATATTGAAAGAGAAAATGCTAACATCACTAAGTGCCCTTGGTCGTCGTGCACTTTTCCAACATGACAATAATCCAAAACCCACATCTGTTGCATTTCTGAAGAAAAACAGGGTGAAATGATTCAGTGGCCAAGTATGATCTGAACCAAATTGAACACCTATAGGGATTTCTGAAAAGACAAGTTGAGCATCACTCTCCATCCAGCATTCAGGCTCTAAAAGAGGTCATTTTTGAAGAATGGAAAAAGATAGATGTTGCAATATGTTGCCAACTTGTTCATTCCATGCCTAGAAGACTTGGTGCTGTCCATACAAATCGTGGAGATCATACAAAATACTAGATGGAGTAGCTTTTTTGTTGTGGGGTGTATTCATTTTTGCATCAACTAATTTGAGTAAAATTGAAGATCTTGTAATCTAGGTTATATTACTAACCTTACTTTCATGTAATGAGCTAAACAAAGGTTCTATAACACTCAGTTTTGTCAAAATTTTGGAAATTGTTCTTGTGTTCATTGAGATATTGATTCAAATCTTACTTTTCAAAAGGGGTGTATTCATTTATGCTGAACACTGTATATACCATACCTGGCTGATCACCCTAGAAACTGGAAATCATTGTAGACACTGCTACTCAAAAAGATCTCCACTTGCTTCTGGGTCCTGTGCTGAGTGACTGTCCTGTTGCATTCTGAGCACAGGAGGTCGACCACTCAGTTCGGGTGCAATTCAGAGAATACTGCGCACTTTCTGAAAGAATGCAAAGCATTCTCTAATTGGACGAGGTGGTGAGGCGGAGTGGTGACTTCACAAGTAAGTGGAGATCACTAGAGTAGCGGTATCTACCTCAGTGATGCTGGTAATTATGAAGAAAATGCACATATGTAACAGACAATAGGGGAAGAAATCATGCTGGATAAGTCAGATACAGCAAATATTTCACTAGATTAATGCATTTGCATAAGTAGAATGTTGCTTGGTCAAAGTTCCTTTTTAAAATAAGCAATGCATGCTGGTACATATGGAGCTGTCCAGTGCTGATTATGTGTTCACACAGGATCCACAATGGATAGGCACTTGTATTCATTTTTTTTCTATTTTGCTTAAAAGAACAACTTCACCTTTAGTAAGGCTCCTTTTGTAAATCCTCAACCTCCTGAGTGCTGCCCACCTTGAACCAGCAATCTTTCCTCCAACATGGTCAAATACTCCTCTTCCCGCATATGTGTGCCACATTCATTTCTATAGGTAAGCTGTACATACAGTATGACACCCTACAGCCTCACTAAAGGTGAAGTAATCCTTCCCCCTAAAAATACAGAAAATCCCCCTCCGCAAATGAAGATACCAGTCTGGTATACTAAGAACAAATACAGACCAATCTTCCTACAGCATATGAGTTTAAAAAGTAACTCCACAATTGCTACACAAGCCCTATTGTAATTGGAGGTTATTCCTTTCAATTTGCAGTGCTGTAATTTTCTGTAAAATGAAATGCAATATGGCTACTTGGAAGCATTCTGTACACAGTTCTTATAAAGAATGCCCCCCCCCCCCCATAAGAAATGTCATTCCTTGCTTGTGTGATTGGCTCTCTGATTTTAGCAGAAGTTGGCACTACAAAGATTTTTTTGGGCATCCTATGCAACAAAAATACAATTTCTGGTGAGGTAGCCCCAAAGAGAAATCATATATAAAGGGATGCAGACCCTGACACTTTTCCTTATTAGAACTCTGCAAGTGCAGCAGATGATTGATAAATATAAAGTCACTCCCATTCACATTCACTGTGCACATGGGTACAAAAAGACAGCTATTTCTTCAGAATAACAAAAGGGAGGAATCTGCAACAAAATGTGTTAAAATCTTTGCAATGTACGTAGATCACCCACAGGGGAGTGTTTATTTTCTCAACAAAAGTGGAGTTACTCTTTTTAGCTTGTGACCCCCACACACACTCACATATATACACACACACTTTTCAAAGACTCGTTTAAGTATAGGGGGACCACAAAAACAATGTAGGCAAGCAATTCATGGGCTCTAGTCTTTTTTTACACTATTGCAGCTGGGAGGGATTACTGAAATGAAGATATGTGCAATTTCTATAGTACAGCAAACAGCACTGTGTACAGTAAGTCATAGTAAGCTAAGAGCAGTCACTTTACATTTGCCTGTTTGTACTAAATCCAAAAATTTTGTAAGAGCTAAAACCAATTGAGAGGTGCAGGTTACCATCAAAACCATAGAATAATGGGGTCCATAGCAAAATCTATTTTTTTTACCTATATATAAAAACAATCCCATTGCTGAGATTATTTTTTTCCTAAAACATAAAAACTGAAAGTGCAATATACTATTGTTTTCATCACACCTGGATACAGGCCCCCAAATTATATATTCAGAACATTTATGTTATTTACAAAATTCTCTAGCTCCTCAGACTAATTTTTTCAGACTTCACTACATCCCCTACGTTGATGGATATAACTAGTCAGTTATGTCCTTGTCTGTGCTGGTCATAGAAGAAAATATCTTTCACTGAGAATGATGGATGACCCTTCACACACTGTACATATTTGCTCCATATATATTGCCTTCTTGTATAAGGCTAATAATCTACAGATGCATTTGGGTGTTAATGACTTTTGAGAACATTGCCAGGGACCATTGAAAAAAAAACTCCAGGCATAATTACTATCCAAAGATCCATTTGAAGATTGCAGTTTCCCTCTTGTGCTTTGAAGTGTGGGGTCAAGGTTTCAGTGCTTTCAAAAAGATGCGGCTAAGCCATGGTGCATACCAGCATACATTTTGGTTTATATTTCGTTTTATTCTAAGATTTCGCTTACAGGGTGGCTAGGGCAAGATGTTGGATGCCAAGATGAAAATTGAAATGATCAGCAGGTAAACTATGTCCCTAAGTGCAAATTGAGTGTTGTTAAGTAGACATGCTTGTTTGTATCAAATATTACCAGAAATGACTGTCTTAGTATAGCAATATTCAATAATAACTAGTCCCTATACACTCTTTATGGGTCAGCAAAAATCAAAACTGTACTTGCTTATCATAAGCAGCTTTAAGATGTACACTGCACGGTCAACCTGTTTTGTTTGGTTAAAAGAACACACACAGTTCCCATACCGCAAAGTAAAAGCTAAGTGCTTGTGCAGATAAATAATTGACACCCATTGCTGTTCTCCTTACAAGGCTTAAAATCAGTGTGGGGGAAGGGAGCTGGCAAGAAACAGCATTAAGGCCAATTTAAATCTACATCGTGTTTGTGTTTATTTTCTGTTTCTTACATGTTTTATTCCAGCCAAATAAATCATAGCCCAGGTTTGATTTCATGGGTTGAGGTGTCACTTCCGAAGGATAAAGTCTTCCCAGTTTTATCATTTCACTTGCAAATTTAATAAAACTTGAAAACAGCCAGAGGCATCAGAGAGAATGTGACTGCACTGAAAGAGACCCCGATGGCAGGAGGGAGGGGATGGGGAGAGCCTTTACCTGTCACGGAAAGGAGGGCTCAGGCTGTGAAATAAATGAAATTGCTTGTAGCTGTTTTCAGGTTGCCAGCCCTTGCTGAATGAGATCCATCCAAGAGCTTCAGCTCCCAAAGGTATATTGAAGGTACTGTACTGTATATTACACTGTTTATGATAAGACTAGTGTAACATCAAAACACATATGAAGTCATGTTCCATTCAATCTGAAAATGAAATACAGGCAGAGGTCTTCAGAAGACCTTTAGTTTAGCAATGTTTCCCGACTTACAATGTGTGCAGACTCTGCAACTGCTCAATAATCCTCAGGGATTTAGGAGCCCATTTACACAAGATGTGGGTTAGAAAGGCAGCCCTGGACATTGCTTTCTTTAGATCAGCTGAAGAGCTGGGTGCATTCCTTATGATACCCTAACCATTCTTCCTATTTGTCTGCATAATCATACTTTATTAAAGATTTCACAAAGTATAAACAATTGTTTGACATCATCTGGCATTACAGGATCCTTCGGAAGTTATTTCAGGTGGATATCCAGGTTAGATCCATAGATACAAACAATGAAATGGATAAGGCCATTTGACCATTTCAAATTGCTAGTAAACTCTTGACCACTAGGTCTAAGATTATAAAAGCATTCATAGTAACATTAGAATGAATATCAGTATTACCAAAATAAGATAAATAAAAAATTGGAACAGGCAAGAAAATACATTATTCGGGAAGAAACAAACCATGAACATGTCACATGTGCTTCAGCTGGGTCATCATGTCTGGCAAGCAAATATAGACATACATTATTTAGGTGTGTAGAAAACCTAGTTAGCGTTCTTTCATAATATGATGTCCTGTAGGCATAGATAAGATAATCCTTCCTCCACAATACCCAAAACTCACTTATTTGTTAATGCATACGAGTATAATATCCCTCCTTCCGAGATATCGCTAAACTTTTCCAGTGTATCACTGGTAGTGTGGACTCATTTGTTAGCTTCAGCAAATGTGGGGTCTCACTTTGCTTGCATGATTTAAAAGAGGAAGGTAGGGCATGAAAAAGGTAGTGGAGAGATATTGGCTTAATAGGTTTGAGGGTAGTCTTTTGAATCAAAGGAGAAATAGAGCCCCAAAAGCTTCTGTCAGGGATCGCTGCGTCCTGTCGGCCGGCGCATGCGCGCTGGCAACGGCTCACGCCGGGATACAAGCACTAGGTCCCGGCGAGCCGCGGATGACAGGACGCCGCGCATGCGCAGTGGGAGCCGGGGGCGTGCCTCGGGCGGCCAATGACAGCCCGGGGGCGCGTCCTGGGCGGCCAATGACAGTGCAGGGCGTAATATTTAAAGATGCCCTGCACTGTCACTGATTGCCGCAAGGTCTTCTGAGTTCCTGAATCCTGTACCTGTGTTTTTGATCCTGATTGACCCTGACTACTCTACTCTCTCCTGCATTTTGACCCGGATTGTCCTGACTACTCTACTCTCTCCTGCATTTTGACCCGGATTGTCCTGACTACTCTACTCTCTCCCATCCTGACCCCTGGCTTGTTAAACCTATCTACGGACTGACTTCTCCTGCTCACCCTGCGAGTGACCTGACGAT